TCTCTCTCTCTTCCCCTCTGTCCCTCCTCCACTTACAGGCACTCTCTTGCTCTCTCTCTCTCTAAAATAAAAATAAATAAATAAAATATGAAGGATATCCAAATTCAAGGGAAAAAAAGACTGATATAAAATTTCTCACATTAAAACAGGTGGTTTGCATATTTTAAAAAGTTAATTATGTTAGTTATCACATTTATGTGGTGTGCAGAGTCCATGGAAGAGCTTTAAAAGAACAAGGTAACAGTTTGCCCCAGGTCATGATCTCACAGTTCATGGGATCGAGCCCCGGGCTGGGCTCTATGCTGACAGTGTGGATTCTCTCTCTCTTCCTCTCTCTCTCCCTCTCTCTGCTCCTCCCCTGCTCATGTGCACTCTCTCTCTCAAAATAAATAAGTAGACATAAAAAAATAAAATAAAATGAATGAAGTAATGAATGAATGACAGAAAGACTTGCAATGGCTGAAGCTGGAAGGGGAACCAGGAACCGTGTCTGGTTGGCTGGCTAGCTGTCAGAAGAAACCAGTGGTCTGGGGAGGAGAGTGAATTTGATTTTATTTTCAACAGTGCCACTGAGATATAAACCACACACCATACGCTTCACCCATTTAACTGTACAATTCAATGGTTCTTTAGTATATTCACAGAGTTGTGCCACCATCAGTCACTACCATCAGTGTTAAGAGTATCTTCTCACCCGCAAAGACTCCCCATACCTGTTAGCAGGCACACACACACACACACGCCTCCATTTTTCCTTAACCCCCCAGTCTCTGGCAACCACTAATCTACTTTCTCTATGGCTCAGCGTATTCTGAGTATCTCACGTAGATGGAATCACACAATATGAGGTCTTTTGTGACTGACTTCTGTCACTTAGCATCATGTTTTTAAGGGTCACCCATGCTGTAGTTTGTGCCAGTGAAAGTTTGATTTTGACCATGCTGAACTGGAGGTGCCCTCAAGAGGCACCTTGGAGGCAGCTGGACTTCTGGGGCTCTAGAGAGTGATGAGGGATAAAGTCATCACCAGAGGTAACAGCTGGAACCCTGGGAAGAGGTGAGGACAGTCAAGGCAAGTAGAAGGAATAAACAAAGAGAAGAAAGAATAGAATGCTAGAGAATGCTTATATTTTTTTAAGGATGCATAGAAGAAGGGAAACCACCAAATAAGACAAAGAAGTCATAGAGAGAGAGAGTGAAACTGGAGGCTCCAGAGGTCACAAATGTCTGAGGGCGATGATGGCACACTTCAGGTCCAGGGACACAGTGGGTGTAGAACGGATTCTTGGTGATCTACCTGATCTTGGCTCCCATTCTGTCTTTGCACCCCATGACTTTCAAGGGTTTCTTCAACCCCAAGAGCCACAGATCCCAGTCTCTAACTTCCTTCTTGCAGTGTCTTTACAATCTCTCCCTTCTCCCTTTCCTATCCATGGGCCGAGTGCTGGTAGGCACCTCACTGACAGGCACCCCGAGGACTGCTAAAGAGGTCCAGGTCTCCCTGACTAAACACTCAACCGCTAGCATTTTTTCAGAGGCAATGTTCTCAGAGGTGGCTTCATGAATTTTTACTACGTTCTTTGTCCTACTCCCCCAAGAATTTCTGAAAACTTTGTGATGAGCAGAGGATCTTTAAAGGGGGGCATTTGTGAATGGCTGTGAACAGACCAGCCTTACTCCAGGTGGTAACAGACATTCCTCCCATCCCCTCATCGTCTAGCCCAGGCACAGAATCTGAGAGAAAGGAGACACGATAAAAGACAATGTAGGTGCCAGAATGGGATTAATAATGATAAACACCAGATAAATTAGGAGGAAGCATTTCAGTTCTGTACTTCTTAATACTGCTTGGGAATCCTGCTATTTTGTGGGCAGCTGGGGAGCCACAATCAGTCTTGTGAAGTGGGACAAGAAGAAATATTAGGAGCACATCTAGGATCTCCCCCACTCCTTCCTGAGACCGTTTGGTGTTGGAGAGAGGAAGTACGTGAATGATGGCACAGTGACTGGACCACACTACAGATGAGCACCACAAGACTTCCAAGTCAGGAATGATCAGCCCAGGCATTTCACCATGGCTAGGGAGGGAGCAGTCCAGACAAGGTCAGTCTGAACCTTCCTGGTGGACTGTCAGGCACGTATGGGTGTGTAGGTTCAGATCTGGTTTCAGGCTAGAGCAGCCCCAGGGCACCTAGATTAATTAACTGGTGATGAATCTTTAATTCATCTAGGTGGTGATCTAATAACAATAAAAAGAATGAATTCTCTTTTAGGGCAAAAAGCAAAAAAAAGTGGTGTACAGATGGTGCCCAGACTACGGCTTCTTTCCAGGACAGGACCTTCAAAGTTCCCTCCGAAGCAGAAGCTTGAGATGAAAAGTGATATAAGTGGTACCTCACATTCAGTAACTCCATTGGAGCAAAAGCGGCCCTAATCGAAGGGAAAGCGGAAGCAAGCAACACTGGAAAAAACTAAAGACTCCAAGCCTTCACACCTCTTTTCTTTCAGGGCATAAAGGTTGAGGGAAAATGAAGTAATTGGTCTCAGTCATCAGTTTACACACATGGAATGGGGTTTCAGAGCAGCACAATACTACTGGGACAGCCCAAAGGCCAGGTAAGCCTTAAGTGCCTTAGTTCAGACCGTGGCAGAAACAGAGAAGGTGCAATGCCTCATTCCTTATCCTAAAGGGTAGGAGAATGTGGAACTCAATTGTTAAGTAGGATGCTAATCGTATGGTATGTACCTCATTTCATGCCATACTTGGAGAGCTGGGCTGTTCAAACACAAATCTACAAAACAGCCTGTTTATGCCTCGCTTGTAGGTACTGACAGTAGCCAGAATGTAAAAGCCCATGTCAAAGCTACAATACAAAGACAAAGTAGCATCCAGAAGGACAGGCGTAAGAAAAAGAGCTGTAGACAGTGAATGTCACAAAATGCAGTGTGTTGGGACTACTTCTAAAGCCCTCAGATGGCAGTGAAAGACAAAGGAGGGCAGGCTAGACCTGCACTGGATGTTACCTGTAACTGCTACATTTTAGAGGACATAAAACGCCTAGCCCCTAAAGACTAGAGACTCATAGCAGCTTGTGGCCTCCTCTAGGACACACTTCTTAGGTCCTCAGATGAAGGCTTGATGTCTGGTTTCTATTTGCTGTTAAGGGAGGCTGGTGGTTGATGTGGTCTGGAAGAACTGGGTGGTCAATAGGAAGTTGGCACGGTGAGGCTAAGAAAAGAATGACTAAACAGCACAAGTTCAATGAGCACATAGAAACTGCAGGCTGAGGCAGATGGTCAAGCCCTCAGGAGTCCCGAGTCATCTAAAAACTAGAGGTAAAAATGGAGTCAGAGGAAGCTAACAGAGAGCCAACAGAAAAGAACACACAACATGTACCCGAATCCCAACCTTGCAACTGAGGAAAAGGCTTGCCTCAACCTTCTTCCTTGAGTGGAAATCAATGACTTGCTTCCCCGTCAACAGCCAGGCTGCCATCTGTGAATGAGGACAAATGCCTAGAAGATCTGTTGCAAAGAAACTTGCCACACGAGTCAGGAAGAAAAGCAGCACCTCGGCCTAACAGTAGGGAAGCGTACAAGAGGGGAAATGTGTCCAGTTACACTCATGTTCTCAAGGAACAGATGGCTTTCATAACCTCAGTGACATCAAGAGTGACACGCATGGTGAAATGCGAAACTTCACCTAAGGTATCCAGTTGAAATCGGGGGGTGGGCGGTGAGAGAAGTTACAGAAAGTATTATAGTTAATGCTAAAGCTTAAAAAAACACAAACGGAGGGGCGCCTGGGTGGCTCAGTTGGTTGAGCATCTGAATTTGGCTCAGGTCATGATCTCACGGCTCGTGAGTTCGAGCCCCGCGTCGGGCTCTGTGCTGACGGCTCAGAGCCTGGAGCCTGCTTCCGATTCTGTGTCTCCCTCTCTCTCTGCCCCTAACCCACTCGCATTCTGTCTCTCTCAAAAATAAATAAACATTAAAAAAAATTCGTTAACATAAATAAATTAAAAAAGCCCACACAAACGGTTGTCAATTCCGTTCTACTAGTCCATCTTCTGAAAAACAAGTTTTACTAACATCACTACGCAAGCTCAGGGTAAAGGCTTCACAAGTATGAATAATTAAGGAAACACTTATGGTTAGAAAATTTATAAAACCACCGTTGGACTATATGATAGCAACACTGGATACACATACATTTCTCAAAGAAAACACAGCCCCAAGTGAACAAAACTGAGTCAGAAAGTTGGCAAGCATGCCTCACTTAACTGATGTAATGTTATTGCTCTCATTTAAAATATCCAGAAGGTAACTTCATATCATTTTTATGCTGCATTTTGAAATATAAACATGACAAATTTAAGTAAAATCAATCCACACCTAAAAGAACAAAATTCAAATTATCGAGAAACTTTTTATTAACATTAAGAGTTAGCACATGTGGCGATGGTTGCCAGGCATTATGAATGCAATTACTGCCACCGAATTGTACACTTAAAAATGGTTAAAATGGCAAACTTTATATGCATTTTACCACAATAAGAAACACATGAATGGGGGGAGAAGGAGAGTTAGTATATTTTGCAATCGTGTGTCCTTTTCATACAGTCAGTTCAATATCCTTTGGTACTTAGATAATTCACATTGTAGAAGGCTAATCCACCTGTTAAACGTTTTTTACCTGAATTTCCATTTCAAACATTAATCACACAACAGAAATTCCAAAGTAAAAAGCTCAAACAGCTGACATATTCACAGCATTTGGGGCATAACAGCAAAAAGCATTTTAACATTAGACAGTCTCACAACTCTATCACCATCACTCTTTGAACTTTCTCTTCAACTATCATGCAATAACATTTGTGAAATCTAGGTTGTAACTTAGGTCAAAATTAAACTAAAAAAAAACATTTGATCTATTAAACATAGATGATTTAGGAGTTCAAAAGTCACTCTACATTTTTAAAAGATCATAATGCAACTAACCTTTTTCTTCCTCAGTAATTTTTCTCTGAATTTATTAGTGATAAATCCCCTTGGGCCAGCAAATCGTAAACGCTGATATTTAGCTTGAATGTATAAGCTCTTCTGTACTAGGCCTGATTTATAATGGGGCTGGAATCTGCCACCTCTAAAGTTGGTCTGTAAAGAAAAAAAAAATTAAGTGTAAAAACTACAGCTTCCAAATCTATTAGTGTAAGAAATGGGGAAATGTCCGGTACTCTTGATTCTAGGTACCACGTATATTAAAAAGGAAGAGATTACTGATGGTAATAAAGTATGTTTACCTCAAACTAGCCTCCTAGTTTAGTTTATATAATGATTTTTTTTAATTTACATAAAAGCTATTTTTTTTAATTTTTTTTTCAACGTTTTTTATTTATTTTTGG